GGACGGTGCTTTGGCCTGCTGCGCCATGCAAGGGAGGGACTTTGGGTTTGTTGCCGGGTTTGGGCTTATGGACAACGACCTGCATGTGTGCTTTCCTTCTTTACAGCTCGCACTGCACTGCATGGCACGGGATAAGAGCACTTGCGCTTGCACGAGTATGGTGCTGGCTCTGCACTACATGGCCCGGGAGCTGGATCACCTGGAGAAAAACCATGCGGGGCCCGCTGCGTCGCACTCCGGTTGGGCGAAACAGAGGAGGTTACAAATGAAGGATAAGACTGAAGTTAAACGTCTTGACGAAGACGGCAGTGGCGCTGCTGGTGATGGTGCCGCTGCGGGTTTGGAAATAGTGACACCAGAGGAATTAGAAAGCTTCAGGCGAGGCATCGCCACCCTCGGTGTGGAGCGCCTCCACCTCTTCTTTATTGAACGGGGTCAATCGGGTCGTGTTTTGGGTTCCGCGGAAGACGCCCTGCATGCGTTGGAGTTTTTGGCCATCGTCAAAGTAGATGATGCAGGTGAGAAGGCCCGTGCCCTCGTCGAGGCGAAGAGGCCACGCTGGTGCCAGTCCTGTCACACTTACCTTGTGCTATCTTTATTTCGCCATGTTACCCACAAAAGCAAGGAGTTAAAGTTCACTTCTGTTGTTCACGCGTTTAAGCTCCTGCGCATTTTTATGCCTTTGCTTTCTTCCTCAGCGCCGGCACCTTCTACTTCTTCTGAGGATAAACAGCGACAGTCGGGTGGCATGCAGACGGCTGCCACGCTTCGTTTTGACTCGCATGCCGCTCATGCCGTGGCCGATGGCAATGCGCCAATATTTCATGAAAGCCCGGCGTATCGTGAGTGGCATATACAGCGTGACACTGTGGACGGTGTTTTATGGGGACTGTGCGCCACACTGCAGCGAAAAGACGCGCGTTTTGTGAATTCATTTCACTTTGTGCAAATCATGGAGACAATTTCACGGCTTCCACCGCATTTTTTGTCGCGTCCCCCTCATCCGAGACGTCGGGCAATTCAAAATTTTGGGGTTTTTGCCACCACCGCCACCAGCAACAGCAGCAGCAGCACCGATGGGGAGGGGGCGACTTTACTCTCAAGGGCAAGAGATGAGGAAACACCGCAGACCACGGAAGAGGTGTGGGGTTACTTTATAGCAAAAGCCTGCATTTTCATTCCAGGCCTGACATCAGATCATCGGCGTCGTGTGTGTTTTGGTCTCCGACGGGCTGTTCAGAAGCGGGAAGGATATTTTGACCGCACAACAAGTGGGGATAAAAATCGACGTTCAAAGACTTCTGCTGCAGAGGCTTTATTGCTGCCGATGGCGCATGAGTTGTTGCAATACCCGAAGGACTATGAGGCCGCCATGTTTGACCGTCCACCGGCAGAAGGGAGGGGCGGTGATTAGTGCGCGGGCAAGACAGCCCAATGCGGCAGCAAGAAAGGAACAAACAAGGGCCAGGCATTTGCCAGTGCAGCGGCTTGGAAAAAAAGAATGGAAAAACTGATTCTTTTTTATTTTTTATTTTTATTTTTTCTCAGGGAATAGAATAAGAATTTTCCCCCTTTTTTTTAGTTATTTTATTTTTTGTACGCGTTTGTGTGTGTGCTTGCCGCTTCACGTGAAAGTGCACCGCAGACGCGCACGCACGGAAGGAGGTGGGGACGAAGGCGAGGAAACCGAAAAAAAGGGAATTTGTTAGCGGAAGTAAATAAGGTTAGATATTAGGGAGGCAATGATTCGCCGGTTTGGCTCAACCGTCGTGTCGCGTAGCAGGACGCCGTCAGTGCCACTTGTCTCGGCTCCGACGCATTCGGCCCTCCGCCAGTTTCATAGCTTGTATGGAATTGCCGTCTCTCTTGTCACGTGCACGGGATGTATTCTCTGCTTTGGGTCATGGGCGAACAACATCTGCAATGTGCGAAAATATGGCCGCTGGAGGTTTCGCAATACTATCGATGACGCCATCATGGTGTCGGATTTTAAAACTGCGCGATACATTGGCGGCTTCATCGGATTTTTATTCTACTGGTTTGTGGTGGGACCCAAAAAGTACAGTTATCCAAGCAACTTGGCTGATGTGCCGGACAACAAGCGCTTTGGACCGTTTTAGATGCCATTAGGGAGAAAAAGGGGGTTGAAAAAACCATGACGGCAGCAACGCCTGCAGTTGTTGTATGGAAATGGAGGGGGTGAATAACGGGTCGGGGGCTGGGGGGAATCGGGCTGGTAGGAAAGGGCACGGGTTTTTTTTTCTTGTTGCTTTGTTTGTTTTATTTGTTTTTATGATTTGTTGGGCTGTCGAATACGTGGGTGGTGGCAATCGGGATAATCCACGCCGAGCAGCAGGTGTGCGTGGGCAGTACTTTTTTTTTTTGACGCTCTTCTAATATTATTATTGCCATCAATGTCTCTTTCCCTTTCCCTTTGTCTTTTTGTCTCTCTTTGTCATGCGCGCTCTTCTTTGTTGGATGTGCGCGTGTCACGTGAATCAATAAAAAACAACAACAACAACAACAGAATGCCTTCATTGTGATTTTGCGTTTTTTTTTTTTTTGTGTGTGCACCGCTTATGTTCTTTTCTTTTCTTGTGTCTGCCTGCGCTGTGAGGAGGAAAGTTTGAGGGGGCGAAGAGGAAAACACAAGGACTATTTGTGAAGTGAAGCGATGGCAAAGCCGAACTCCACGCCAAGCGAGAAGGATATGCAGCGGGCACGTACGCTTCGGCTCCTAAACGATCTCCGTATGCAGCCTTTGAAGTCTCTGCCAATGACACTTTTTTTGATGTGGATGGTTGGCAATGACGTTGGCATCTTCACTATCATGTTTGTAGGCATGGCGGTGGTGAACCCTCTGCAGTCCATCTTTGGCACGAATGATGTTTTTAAGGAGTTTGAGGAGGAGGCGAAGGGGGATGCCAACATACGGAGCGCCCTTAGCCACTCAAAGCTGATGTACATCGCGTCATGTCTGCTGGCGTTTGCAGTGGCTTTAGTCAAGTTAAGCTGGATGGGACTTATGCCAGTGAATGCGATGGACTGGCTGGACAGCACACCGCCGGACTACAAGGAGTACACTCAGGGCTTCTTTGCCATCTGAGAGCCACAAGCCTCGCCCCGTTGCAAGTAAAAGGGAAGAGGAAGAGGGGAGGAGAACTCAGAAGGCACGCAGACGGATGAATATCGAAAGGCGGCAATATTTACACAAAAGATGAGGGATTTTTTAAATTGCCGCATTTGGTGTAGATGTGGGGTGAAAGGAAGTGGGGATTCGCTTTTCACTTTTTCTCTTTTTGGTGCAAAGGACCTTCAGGATCGATTTCACTCATAGAACCCCTTGTCTTGTTTGTTTTGTGTGTTTTTTGTGCTTTTCCTCCTTTTGTAATAAGACAAAAAAGGAAATTTATGCACCCGGTGGAGGGGGTTATCTATGCTTAGGCATGTAATGCATGTATTCCAGCAGCCATGCGTGTGTGTGTGTGTGTCTGTGCGACTACAATACAGCCTTTTTTTTTTGTTCATTTATATATGCTTCCTTTTTCTTTTTTTTTTCTTTTTTTTTTTTTTGATTGTGCCTGACAATGGGTGTCTGTGCACACATGTTTGCATGCATCCGTACCGTCACTACAGACACGATAACGCAGAGAAATGACATCTATTGCGCTTTGGGTAGCGCGGCGCATTCGAACGTTTGATTTAAAGCACAGTTGCCGCACACGCCCATATGCGTGGTACTTCTCGCTTTGCCTCCTCTTTGTGAGTTGGGCAAACTACGCGCAGTACAGGCGACTTCGGCCCATGTACCCGAACTACGAAGAATATCGTCTCAAGGAGGGCGGTAGGATGTTGGAGGCAAAGCGGCAGGAGATGGCGGATGTGATGCGATACAATAGCATGGTGAGCACAATGCGTAGCGAATTGAGCGGACGGGGTTGAATAAATTACTGCTGCGCACCAAAGTTAGAGGTGTGTGTGTGTGTGTGTGTATTTGTATGGTTTTTTTTTTTTTCTCTTTGGGGCGGTGAAGGAAAATATGAACGTGAAACTTCTCTTCTCTTTTCCACCTCTGTCATTCCAGAAAAAAACAAAAACAAAAACTGTGCATGATGAGTCCCGCAGCGTGAATAACGGCAATGAGAAGTGGGAATTGGTGAATGTGTTGTCATGTGCTCTCACTGCTCCTGCTTTTTTCCCTTATTTTTAAATTTGTTTGCTCCTTTCCCACGGCCAATAAAGGCCCGTCAGAGGGAATTGAACCCTATATACATATTATATTAGATGTAAAAGGCAAACAATATTAAAAAGACGAGAAGGCGTTCTGTACAACAGGAAACACAAGAAATGGCGGCAAAAGGAAGGCATTCAATAACACCTGTCTCGACACTTGGTCGTTTTTTTAGCGTTATTGATTGCGAGTTGCACCGCATTAACATTGTCTATTTAGTGAAGGGATACAACCTGAGGTACTCTTTGACGGTGGCCACTCTCCTTCTTCTTTTGGCCCTAACGTTTGCCTTTCCGACCGAGCAGCCTGTGTATGTCGGTGTCGTGTCCTTATTGGCACAGTCCTTCAGTGTGCTAATGATTGCAGGAGGTCTCTATTGCGCCACAGGTGGTGTCTTCACACGACGGCGGCAGCAGGAAGAGTGGCTACTAGGCAATGTGAAGGATGTCTTGCATCTGCTTATGGAGAATGCATCTTCTTCCAAGGCGGGGTATATGTTTTTGGCGTTAGAGGCTATGGCGCGGCTTGGCAACGTTCTTCAAGGGTCAGCGTGTGTCTGTGCTTTGTTGTTGTTGTGGATATGCTGGCTGTTGCTGAAGATGAATAGTGAGAGGCCATGAGCGAAATGAGCTGTGAGGAGAAATGTTTTGTCTTTTTTTCTCTATTCACAATTCATTGCGATGTGTGTTATTTGGAGTCTTGTGATGAAACATGTTTTTTGGAGTGAGTGCAGGAGTGCGGGTTTCTTTTTTTTTTTTTTTTTTTTTCAATGTGCTCTGCGAATACTCGTGAAGGCAATATATATGTATATGTATTTTTTGCTCTTTTTTTTTTTTTTTTGTATTGTGCCTGTTTTGCTTTGCTTTTGGTTTATTTCAACGTGGACCGAGGAGGAGGGGAGACGGAGAAGATGCGGCGGACATGGCCTGCACGTTGTGCCGCCAACACTTTGGCACCGGCGAGGGAGATGGAGCGACGTCTGCGTTCACGTGACATGACGCTGCGCGTGACCACAAAGGATGGCACTCTGCGTCTTGTGTATGCATCCACGTTGGGTCTCCTGCGGGAGACTCTCCGGCGACACCGGCTGGCAGCACGCACACATGGCTGTTGCCCTTTCTTGGAACTACTCGGGACACACCTGTCATTCACGAACATTCTGGCGGCGCTCCAAGAAGGAGAGGAACGTGTGTCCTCTCGATTCACGGCGGATGAGGCGACTGTCGTTACCGAAGCACTGGCGCTTGGAGAGTGTCGATGTTGCGTACGTGGCGACAACAATGGCAGCATTGAGGGGCCGTCATTCCCGCTCATAGTTGAGCGGGCCTTGTATGGTCGGAGGCAGGCCTTCACTTCTGCGACTTCAGCGAGATTTGATCGGATTGTCTCTGAGGATGAGGAAGAAATAAATGACGCTGATGCGATGTCAACA